ACTTATTGAAGAGACACAGATGTTTCACACAATTAAGGGAATATCTATACAACCAGCTTCTGAAAAGCTGAGGCCCAGGGCAGTGCAGGGGATACCAGAAACAGGAACCACTTATTCTCTTTGGGAGACGGTACATTTGTGCCTGTGTATGTGCACGCACACGCATACATGCATGTACTCCACGATAGTTTAAGCTATCAGCATGCCCAGTATTGCATGTTGTGGGGAATGCTGGATAATATTAAATTCAAAAAGAATTTCACAGAAGTATCTAATAAAAAAATCCCCTAACCTAGAGAATGCTATTGAAAGATGCTATAAGTTGATTCCTATAAGATATGCACCCACCCCCCCAAAAAAAAACTATTCTCTGCCACAGCAACCATGCGAAACAAAAAAGCCATACCTGAGTGTCTTCAAGGGTCCATTCTTTTGTGTTAAAGCCTCAAGGAGCACAGTTACTCCACTATTCCCCAAATTATTCTGGCTCAGGTCCAGAGTTTCCAGCTTCTGGTTGCTAATGAGAGCAGATGCAAGATCCTGACAAGAGAAAGGGGTGAGGGAGCAGCACCAGAGCCTGTAGAGAAAGAACACAGAAACCCATGCATTCATTGAGCAACCAGACACACTCTTATTCGCCGGGATCTAGCAATGAGGAAATGAAGGAAAAAGCAAAGAAGAAGAAAAAAAAAGAAAGAGAACACCAAATCTTTCTTCTCCCAGAGCTTACTTTAGTGACAGCAGACATCAGGACATGTTACATGTAAGACAGTGGATGATGGTACTGAGACAAAACAAACAGTATAGGGGTAAGTCAACTGGAGCAGGACTGCGTAGATTTTAATTACAGCAGCCAGTGGAGTCTTCATTGAGAAAGTGTTACAACAAGGGGAAAAAAAAAACTAAAGGTAGATAGTGAACCACCTATGATTATTGGGGGAAGGAATCTTACGCCAAAATAGTGAACCAGTGGCAAAGTTGAAAGAGTTTGGCTTATAACAAGAGGATTTCATAACACCCCGTAGGCTACAGAGACCTTCTGAGTCTTCGGAAATCAGGTGCTATGGTCTGGCTTGCATCTTTAAAAGGTGCCTTGGGGTGAAAGAAACTTCAAGAAATCAAGAGCAGAAATTTGCAGACCAGTTCAAAGACTATGCAACAATCCACATGAGAGTTAGAGGCAGAAGAGAGTGTTAGCAGTGGAAAGGTAGGTGGTCAGATTCCAGGTATCTGGAAGGAGGGACCTAAAGATGGTTTGAATGTGAGATGTGAAATGAAGGAAGTAGAGGATCGGAAGGCTTAGAATCAATCAATGAATAGGATTAGATTGTTTTTGTAGACCTTATTACTGAGGGTTGAGTTCATCACACTTAGTAAAGCATGACATGTTATCATCACCTCTATTCCATTCCTCATCTTGTCTTGCCAGAGCCCTTTTGAGACTGAAAGGTGCCTTTGCCGGTGGAAGGCAGTGGGAAGGTTCTACTTAGGGTAGGTATAGGTCATGCTGGCTTATGTACAACTCCCCTCCCCAGAAGTAATCAGCCTGGAGCATGTCTGGCCAAGAATTTTAAAGAGTTCCCCAGAACACCCAGAAGAAAAAACAAAGCACCCTGGTGTTCTGTTTTTTGGGTTTTTCTGTTTGTTTTTGTTTTCCTTGTCTCTACAGCAAAGCTAAGGAAGTAATTGTATTATCCAGACTGTCTTTCCATTAGGCTTCTAATTGCGAAGTAGGTTTCACCCAGGAGATGCATTTGACAGACTTGGGAGGGAAGCGCGGCAGAGCTCACTGTCCCATTTATGAAGCCACCGCATTTCCCAGGGGTGGTGTCCCAGGGAACTGAGCTCGGGCAGGCCCACTGCCTCGTGATCACTGGATCCCAGCAAAAACTTGGTGTTCCTGAAATCTTCACTGGAGGCCATCCCACCTACAACCCACCTCTTCAGCCTTTGGAAACACCCAGTTACCTACATTCAATTTCTGAGTTTTCTCCTAAAATTGGATGAGGAGTGACATTACCACAGCTTGAGATACTCTGGAATATAAAAATTAAAAATTTCCAAACACTTTAAAGATGAGCAAAAGCACTTACCCCAGGCATTTTAGGTTACAATTTGGATTCTTTAAGGCCTCACAGAGAAACCACAATCCAGCAGTTATGGGATTGAGACCGAGGTCCAAGTTTATCAGGCTGGAGTATTCTTGGAGTAGCTTTGAGAGATGTTTGCAGCCATGCCTGTTTATGTTGCATTGCCGTAACCTATGGGATAATTGAACAAAAATGCGTCTATTACCCCTCTGTAACTTATGCCCTGGGAAGTAGTTGTTTCTTCCAAGATCATGTACCTTCTACCTTGAACCACACACTTCCAGGCAGGCTTGTCATAAAAGCATGCAAATGGACTTAGGACTACATTATTTCCACCCTGCTTAGGTGGTAGAGGATTAAACCAGCCTTTGCCAACCACCTTTTATCATGGAGAAACAAACATGTCTTTTGAGATACAGGTTTTTCTGGGACTGTAGCCTCTTGCCCGTCAAGAGCTTGAGATTTGGGTCAGACAGAGCCAGGAAAGAATCTGAAGCCTCCCTTATTTTTTGTACTATTAGATCATTGAGATTCTACTTTCCCTGGCTCTTCATCTTTCAAGTTTTTTAAGTTTTATTTTTGATATGTGATACTTGCGTATATACAGGGTACAGTGTGATGTTTTGATATGTATGTTGTGTGTAATGATCAAGATGACTATAGTTAATGATAACGTATTAACATACACCTCCATCATTTTGTTTTATTTCAAGTCTTGTATTAAATTGACCCAGCAGAATTGTGCTGCACCCAAAAAGGTAAACATTCCTGATAACTCAGTGGCTATGGTTCTAATTTATATACAGTA